AAAACATATGGTTGCAATTTTCGTAAATAAACAAAATTGCATGTTTCGAGTTTTGGTATTTATATGCTTTTTGGCTGCCTGCTATGTGACTTTATGATAGCGTCAACTAGTTTTTACTTCTAGAAATGTTCCTGGCGAACATTGAACGTTCACTTTCCTTTTTTCTTCCATGGCAACATGAATTTCAATTTGTTTACAAATAAAACATAAACAAAGTCAGCTGGTGTGTCTTCTTCTTCCGGTTTTTGCAAGTGATGGCTGATTTCCTGTTCGTTTACTTTTTTCCTTTTTCTTCTCTTTGGGAGAGAATTTTCGCTTACGCTCTTGATTTGGATTGTAACGCAACTAATATCAAATAGACCTTTAGCCGCATCCGTGTAAGAGACTTTTTTATTTTGAAAACAAGTAGAAACCTTTTCTTCCGTGAAAATAAGTTTTGTTAAGGATTTGAACAATATTATGATCTTTAATTAAGAGATGCTTGATTCTCAAGCGCGAAACGGTTGGCATGGACGCCTTCGTCCTTACATTTCCTAATAGTTTTGATACTACATCAGCTATAAGGTTTGCAGAAGGATTTGTACCATCTAAATCAGTGATTCCCCAGGGATCCACGGGAGACTCAACGGGGGTCTACGTTGACGTGAAAAAAATATGGGGGTCCAGGAGGCATAAGTGGGGGTCCACGAAAATTTATCTGCTTTCAATAGTAAAGAACCAAAATGGTTGCTGGATAGCCTCTTTATTTAACTTTAATTTTTTTGAGTGGTGTACAGTGCTCTTGATGCACTGCTGCACTTACCGTCAATTTGTGTTTTCATACGTGGGAAAGCCTTAAAGGCCACCTGCAGACTAAAAAGAACCGGATGTTGGTATAACACTGAGTGGGGCGCGGCGGAAATTGCTGGCGGCAGAGAGTTGAGAATTTGTTTCTATACAATGCCACAGGATAATTCCAGCACTGAGACCGGACTCACACATTGTCGAGTCTTCACTGATAGCTCCAAAACTGACTCTGGGCCATGATATGGTGTATTTTTCGAAGTTAATGGGGATACACTTCGCTTTTCTGTTGAGGAATATGCTTCTGTCTTCCAGGGTGGGGTAATACAATCCTCAAAGCCGTGGACTACGTGGGGGAACATAGGTAGACAGGAAGGAGTTTACGTGTCTGCAGTGACAACCAAGCTGCACTTAAGGCATTAGCCAGCCCTCTAACTACTTCCAAACTAGTTCGGCAATGCAAGTCTCGACTAAATTATGGTGGTAGTTAAACATAACGAGCTTGCTTTACTCTGGGTGCCAGGTCACTCAGGAGTACCTGGTAATGAGACATCTGACCTTTTGGCCGGAATTGGCTTAGACCAGGCATTCTTCGGTCCGCAACCATTTTTAGCACAACCGCTTTCGGCCATCGAAGCAACCATCAGAAACTGCGTGAATACTGCGCTCAGCAATGACTGGGAGGCATCGAGGGGATGCAGGTGAGCAAAACTCTGAGCAGACGATACTGAAGACAACTTGTTGGACTGCTGACTAGTCACTTCGCGTGGCACAAACACCTGACTGTGATAGGCGTAAATGACAAGTCCATTTGCCCATCCTGCCTTGAAGAGGATGAAATGATGGAACACATTTTGTGCTTCTTGGTTGCTGGGTTGTTTGTCATAGATTTTCTAGACTTCTTCTTGTCTCTATTGTCAGTTTCTAGCTCTACCCAGAATTACAGTGGACGACGGTAAACGGTTGGCGGTAAGTGAACAGCTGTTCAGTTACCGCAGTGATATCCGTCCGAATAAACACAATTGCAGCTGAGGACGGCTTCCGTTAACTGACATTTTTATTTCGAAATTTTCATTAAAATATTTGTATTTGTTTGGTACGTGCTTGTGTGTATACCCTGCAGGGAAAGCTACTAGTTGTGAACTAGAATTCTACCGGTTTGCGTTTCAGCCGAACTAGTTCACGTTCTATCCTTTTTCAATGTTAGCGACTGGTATTTTTAACATTGCGATGTCCTACGAGATGTCAATTGTCAGGCTATGCATCAGCATCTACTAGTATAAATACCAGTAGCATCATACCAGTTGATGAGATAGTCTGCCAATTCATGTCCCGTGAAAAGCATAAGTGTGCCTTTTTGCTCGCGACGCTCCAGCAGTCACAATGGCCGACAGAGCAAAGCACTGGCGTGGTAAGCCTGAGGTCCCAGGTTCAAATCCTGGCGCAGGGAAATTTTTTTTTATTTTATTTTTTTTTATTTTATTTTTATTTTTTATAAATTTATTTTTTTGTTTAGGCTTTTTATAGTAATTTTTAAATTTTATCAAAAAATATTTTTGTTTAATTACTTTGTTTTTTATAGCACAAGCATTTCTTCCTAAATGTTTTTTTGCATTGCAATTAGGTTTTCAAATTTGTTATTTATTTATAAATTGAATAAATTATTTTTACTTACATTTATTTAACTTTAAAAATCTGAACCACCTCCAAGCGGCCTCGAACCTGCGATTTCAGAACCAGAACCAGTAGTCTTCACGTGACGCCACAGCCGAGATTTGTAAGAGAAGCAATTAATTGCGTTTTATTTTTGGCTTTGGCAATTCAAAGGCAGATGTCGCTGATCACCTAAGTTCTTCGAAGTTGTCGAACTGGTAGGCACATACTAGTTAATGAACTAGTATTTTTTCTGACTGGTTTGGCTTTTCACTGCAGGGTATTTGCTGGAAATAAAAATGGTTAAAAGCATTTGCAAAGTTGTGAAAATAATAGAAATTATTACAATCAACAACGTGCCGCCCCCGCTGGGCGGTAAAAATAGAAATAAAGTTAAATCAACCGAAAAACGTTGGCGGTAAAAATGCTACTGCCGCAATTATGTGCCATTCCATATGTCTGCGTGAGTTTTGATTTTGGCAGCGGTTAACCGTCGACCGCTTTACCGTCGTCCGCTGCAATTCTGGGTTGAGCTTCTGAATTAAAAGTTCGGCGTAAAAAGCTAGGCCGTTTTGTTGTTTTAAAAATGTGAGTAATAAATATTTTTCGCCTCACTTTAAAACTCGGAACGATAAAAATAAAAATGATGTCATCAACATAAATAAACTATTTTACAAATACTCCACGTACAAAGTCAATAGTGAGCCGAACATTTGATGAGTTTATGGTGAAGATAATGTTAACTAGGGATGTTTCGAATGTCATATTTTTCACATTCGCGAAGGCAAATGCGAATGCGAGTTTTCGGAATGCGGATGTGCGAATGCGAATGTTAGGAATAACATTAAAAAAGCTATAATCAACTTAAGTAATCGTTTTTCTTACTTAAAAATTTTGTAAATTATTAGAACATTGAACGAGTGCTTAACCTATACAATGTTTTAATCTGGTAGTCAAAGTTCAAAAGGGGCATATTATATTTCAAAAATAGTAATTTTGCTGCCTTTTCTCCCATGAGGCGGCTGCACTGAACAATCCTTTGCTATGAGGCCAAAATGTGTCAAATATTTATTAGTTATTTTTTTGCAAAAATTTGCCAAATTGAAAAATTAAGTGCCATTTGAACTAAAATAGGGCCAAAAATGGCACGGTTTGAGCCAAGTTGGCAGCCCTGCACTTGGAACGCTGGCGGGTGGAGCGCTCAAACAATTGCGGGCCAGATCTGTCAATTTGTCGTACTTTAGTTTAGTTTTCCACCAGTCGAGAGGATTTTCACCGAGATGAGCTCGCATTTCTTTAAGATAGGCCTTCTTCTTTTTTTAATGTCTCCAGATTCTACATCCGAGCCTTCGCTTTCGCTGGGAGAATCTAAAATTATTTCTAGGTTGCTTTTAGCAGTACTTGTTGAAGGCCCATCAATGTTGCTTGATATATTACTTAACCGTTTAGCGCCTGAGGCTAAAAGCCGGCTATGGTCCGCACCCTGGTTAGACAGACTTAGAGCCATTTTAGCAATATTAGAGTGGACTCTCTGCCCATGTACACATTCGCATTCGAAAAACATTCATATCATTTGATGCGAATCGTTCGCATAACGAATGCGAATGCAAATATTCGCAACATCCTTGATGTAAATAACGCTAGAGGTCGAAGTGCTCTTAAAAAATATAACTCTTCAAAGCGAGAGAGTATTCTGATAGATTTACGAGCTCTATTTTTAAAAGCCTGCATTTTTTACGAGCTTTTTGAATATTTTGAAATGTATCAGCAGGGGGTCCCCCGAAACTAGTAAATTTTTGAAAAGGGTCTACGAGAAAAAAAGTTTGGGAACCTCTGATTTAAATGAATTTCTTTTTCAGCGTATGGCATATTAAAATATTTTCCAACATCTAACGGAGTGGGTAGGACCGTATTACTCAGATGTGAAAATGATCCAATGACCTCGTAAATAGCTGCACTTGTTTGCTTCTTCGTGACGGGCATTTTTCGTTATGGGGCTTACAGAATTCGATCACTTTTAAACAATAATTAATGCGTAATGCGCTAACACTGCTCGCGAAGTGGGAAATAAAGATTAAATGATATAAATATTGATGTTACTTACGTTAACTGTGCCTAATTTGTTTTTTAATGATTTCATGATAAGTAATAAGCTCTAGATTTAATCTACACAAGTCCTTGTATAGGTTTGAAAAATTGGCATTCCGCTCTTATTTTGAAATTTTTAAGCTTATGCCAATTTCCACTAGGAATTGATATGACAAAAGATTTGACAAATATTTTTTTCCGCCCAACTTTGTCACTAAAATTTTTGCGTTTTAATGCCAAGTGGAAATCCGGCATTATTCCGCATAGATCTAGATTTTTTTAAATCAGGGGCCCAAATAGTACTTTTTAAGTCCTTTACAGTTTTTGTATAATTTTGTTTGTTTCGACCCGCCCTAATGTGCATAAATTCGTGTACATTATATATGTATATAGAATTATATATGGTATTTTAATGTATTTGCTCATCTCATTATTATTTTCATACATATATAATTTTTGTAACGTAAATTAGGCTAAAATCGCAAACTACTGTCGAGAGATATTCGGTGATATGTTATTAGATAAGCCACTAGACTCTCACCCGCTAGAGCCTAATGTTGATTTACCGCCACCATCATTGCTTAAGCGAAAAATTATCATTAAGAACAAGCGAAAACACCATCACCACCATCGTCACAAGAAGGGAGACGTTGCATCAACGGTCAGCAAATTATCGACTGCAAACTCAGGTGAGTGGAACATTTTCTCATTTACACCGCATATATGCATGCACACAAACCAAACTGCAAAAAAGTGTACGACTAATCTCCAAAGATAGTATTCTTGGATTAGTCTCAATTGGGTATAATTGGGCATTAATTAGTCGCAACAAGTCTCTTACGGTTATTATTGGAAATCACATAATTCGAGTTCAATTAGTCCCAGAGTCACCTCTAACGGTTCAATTTGCGATTTAAAGATATGTAATTACTTAGTCTACGAAATTCCATATGCGGCGTAGCATTTCTATGAAAGTTGCCAAACATGTAGTATTTATAAAAGAATATTTTCGAATAAATTGGTACCTCACCTAATGCAATTGCATAAAAATTGCTCAAGTTAAGCAATTTAAACAAAAATACGGTCTTAATTTATACAAATATGTGTATATACCGGACGTTAAAATTTTTTGAGTATTGTGGCTAAGGAGCTACTCAATATTTACAAAAAATTGATATATACAATGGCTCTTAAACAAAAAATTTATTTTTCATACAATATTAGGAAAATGAGCGTGACGCCGCCCACTTATATGATAAAAGCGTATCCCCAAAATACTCGACCGATCTCGACCAAATTTGATATACACATTTTGCTTAGTCTCCTCACGCACCATCTTGAACATTTTAGAAATCGGACAAAAAACACGCTCTTCACCTACATAACGGTAATTTCAAAAAACTCAAAGTTAGCTATATTTTAGGGGTAATAGGTTTGGTCCGATCTCAAAAATTTTCAAGACGGTGCTTATCAAATTTGGTCGAGGTCGGTCAAGTAGTTTTTAAGATACGCATATATAACATAAGTGGGCGGTCTGAACGTCCGGTACATACACATCTATACATCTTATAAAATAAAGTCCAAAAATATGTATGTAATAATGTAACATCGCACAGAATGCTCCCATTTGAAAATGGTTTTTAGAGAAGAATTAAATGAAAATGGTACATAAACAATTTTTATTATAACACCGTGCGACAAAAAATTGTACACACTAGGGATGTTAATTTTTTCGATTTTTACGATACGGATTTTCGGGATGTCGTTGGTTAAATCCCGGGATCAGTCCCGTGATTTAGATATTTATTATTTTTCAAAAACTTAACATGAAAAAATTGCATCAATATGGTTTGAGAAGCTCTCCTACCATATAATAAATAATAAGTAAATGGGTTTGGAACGTACTTTTTTATTTAGAGTGAAAGTTATTTCATACATAACAAAACGAAAAACAGTAATTAAATTTATATGTATTTATTATTACTTTAGCGTGTACATATCTGATAAAGTAATTTAAGGTATGTCAAAAAAAGCCCGATGCAAAAAAAAATTAAGTCGAAATATTTATTTTATGGTTGAAAGAAGTTCATAATACTAGTGGCAGAAATAAAAGAAGCGCCTTAATTCAACCAGTTTTGTCTATATTCCTTTTGTTTATTCAAAATTTAAATTTTTTTATAAAAGCCCACCTCATAGTACATGTAATTAACTGCATATAAATGGGCATTTCTCCGACGTCATGATTTTTTTAAAGACTATAATTTCAAAGATATAATTAATTCCAAAATCTATTTAAAAAAATCAGTGCAATGTAAAATAAAAATATTGGTACCAAATGAAATAATTTTTTTGGGTTCACAAGAACAAATAGGAATTGAAAATGCCCATTTAATCTATTTAATTTTTTTAAGCTAATAAAGTTACTCCGTAAGATATAATTTTTTCAAAAATAAGAATTGCAAAATTTCAAGGATATTCAAGGATAAAATTATAAAAGGGTATTTTCAATACCTACCCGTTCCTTCTTCTTCTTCGTTTTTGGCGCTGTAATCGCTTAAGCGATTTTGGCCGAGTTCAACAAAGCACGCCAGTCGTTTCTATTCTGTGCCTAATGGCGCTAACAGGAAATGCCAAGTCTTTCTCCACCTGGTCTTTCCATCTCAGTGGGGGCCTTCTTCTTCCTCTGCTACCACCAGCAGGTTCCGAGTTAAATACTTTCAGAGCTGGAGCGTCGGTGTCCATTCGAACGACATGACCAAGCCAGAGGAGCCGCTGTATTTTGATTCGCTGCCCTATATCTATGTCGTTGTAAAGCTCATACAGCTCTTCGTTCCATCGTTTGCGGTTTTCGCCGTCGTCAACGCGTAAAGGCCCGTAAATCTTCCGCAAAATATTTCTCTCGAATACTTCAAGAGCCGTCTCATCGGATGTTGTCATTGTCCATGCTTCTGCGCCATATACCAGCACGGGCATGATGAGTGACATATATAGTGTGGTTTTCGTACGTCGAGAGAGGACTTAACTCCTGAATAGCCTACTCAGTCCAAAGTTGGCAAGAGTGATTCTGCGTTGGATTTCCATGCTGACATTATTATCGGTGTTAATGCTGGTTCCCAAGTAAACGAAATTCTCTACTTTCTCGAAATTTATACTGTCAACAGTGACGTCGTTGCAAAGGCGCGAATGTGCAGACTGTTTGTGTGATGACAGGAGATACTTCGTCTTGTCCTCGTTTTACACCAGACCCATTCGCTTTGCTTCCTTATCCAACTTGGAAAAGGCAGAACAGACTTCACGGAGCTGGTGATATTGCTCAACGTCATTTTACACAGCCGTATCAGTTTGGCGTGGATGCCAAATTCAGACATAGCGGCGTATAGACAACTCCTTTTAGTGCCGTCGAAATCGGCTTGAAATTTTACAAATAGGTGGTGAGCGTCGATTCTTTTCTCGCGGGTCTTTTCCAAGATTTGGCGTATTGTGAATACCTGGTCTATGGTGGATTTTCCAGGCCTATAGCCACACTGATAAGGCCCAATCAATTCATTGACGGTGGGCTTCAGTCTTTCACACAATATGCTCGATAGACCTTGTAACCTATGCTTAGAAGGCTGATCGCGCGGTAGTTGGCGCGAATGGCGGGGTCGCCTTTATTGTGGATTGGGCAGAGCACACTTAAATTCCAGTCATCGGGCATGCGTTCATCTGACCATATTCTTCCTGTCGGCCACCATTTCAAGCTCTTCGCACTCACGAATTTCGGCCACTCTCTTCTTATTGCGGCAAATACGTCTCGCTTCCCTCTTCAGATCCCTATAGCGGTATCACACATCTTTTTTCTCTGCAGCTTCCTGACACTCCTCATCGTTCCAGTTGTTCTCTCGGGCTCGCTGAAATCCGTCTACTTCTTCTGCGGCGATACTTAATGAGCGGGAAATGTGGTTCCACTCCTCGCATATGTCGGTTTGTTGAAGAGTTCTCTCTGAGAGCAGGTGTGAGAGTCGAGTAGCGAATGCATTGGCGGTCTGTTGTGATTGCAGCTTTTCGACGTTAAGCTTTCCTTGCANCTCGGGCTCGCTGAAATCCGTCTACTTCTTCTGCGGCGATACTTAATGAGCGGGAAATGTGGTTCCACTCCTCGCATATGTCGGTTTGTTGAAGAGTTCTCTCTGAGAGCAGGTGTGAGAGTCGAGTAGCGAATGCATTGGCGGTCTGTTGTGATTGCAGCTTTTCGACGTTAAGCTTTCCTTGCATATTCGGGCGTACATTTTTTGCTGCACAGAGGCGGGTGCGTATCTTGGCTGCAACAAGAGTCGATGTTTGGGGCTCGGAGTGTACGTACGTCCAAAACAGTGAAAGCATGCCTTCCGTCTATCACAACATGGTCGATTTGGTTTCTCGTTTTTGGATCGGGAGACAGCCACGTAGCTTTTTGAATCTGTTTATGCTTGAACCTAGTACTGCATACTACCATGTTTCGGGCCCCGGCGATCAGCCTCAGTCCGTTGTCGGAAGTTTCGTCGTGGAGGCTGAATTCTCCGACGGTGGTTCCAAAGATCCCTCCCTTGCCCACCCTGCCATTGAAGTCGCCAAGCACGATTTTGATATGGTGGCGGGGGCAGCGCTCGTACGTGCACTCCAAGCGCTCATAGAAGAGATCCGTGGATACCTCATCCTTCTCTTACGTCGGGGCATGGGCGTAGATGAACGAGATATTAAGAATCTCGCTTTGATGCGGATTATGGCTGGACGCTCGTCCACCGGGGTGAACGACAGTACCCGGCGAAGGAGTCTCTCTCCCACCACAAATCCAACACCGAATTTGCGCATCTTTACATGACAGCTGTAGTATACGTCGCAAGGCCGCAGGCATTGCTTGACTTGCCCCGTCCAACGCATTTCTTGGATGGCGATGATGTCAGCTTTTGTCCTTACGAGTAAATCAACCAGCCGGGCAGAGGCACCTTCCCCATTAAGGGTCCGGACATTCCAGGTGCATGCCCTCAAATCGTAGTCCTTTAAACGTTTGCCGTGGTCGTCATCATAANGCTGTGACGGGGGTGGTTTCGTAACCAAATGCACGTTTATATAGCGAGTCGCTTGCTCCAAGCAGACACCCACTTGCAGCCGCACCTATTGGTGAACAGACGCTACAGACTTCAGCGAGCCCTTAAACCGAATAAGTCGGAGTGGCCCCACCGACTCTTTCTGCCCAAGGCCCCTCGGATTGGTTACCGCATCTCGCACAAGGGTTGCTCGCGTTGCCCAGAGTGCGCGAACGAGGACGCAAGAGTCGGGATTGAGTATAGCCATGCAACTGTAACTGCATACCCAGNGCCCAAGGCCCCTCGGATTGGTTACCGCATCTCGCACAAGGGTTGCTCGCGTTGCCCAGAGTGCGCGAACGAGGACGCAAGAGTCGGGATTGAGTATAGCCGTACAACTGTAACTGCATACACAGCACGACGACTATACCCCATTGCACTCCCCTCCCTTACGCACAGAAAAATGTAATGTGTTTAACTCTACAGAATCTTCTCTTTCATTTGATACCCATACTATTTTTTTAAGTATATTGCACTGAAATTTTTAACTAATTTTTTGGGTTCTTTTAAAAAATCCTGACGTCAGAGAGAAAAATTAAGAACGCAATTTTACTATATTTGCCTCTTGGTTGGCGAATATATTGTTTTTTTTTTTTTTGTGCAAAATTGCTTGTCGCAATTCGTCGTTTAAAGTACAAAACCGCGTATCAACAAAATGCAAAACCGCGTATCAAAATAACGCAAAACCGCGTATGTGAGGTTGTATAAATTATTTTCTAGAGAGTAAAAACACTCATATTTCAAAATGGTTCTCTTTTTTTTATAAAGCAATCCCATTTTTGGCTAGTATATTTCAGGACGAATGGATAAAGATTGAGCCAAGAGCTTGTGCGAGCAAATCCAATTTTTGGCAGCAAATGAAAGTTATGTGGTTTCGCAGAATAACGATACGCGGTTTTGTACTTTAAACGACGATATGCATGTTATAAATCTAAAAAATGTTGTATTAAATAATCTATGCCCATGTATGTAAATTTACTTTTATTTGTTGATTAAAATGCTGCCCTAATATATTATTTATATGCATATGTACATACATACATACATACGACGATATGTATATGGAGCTATACATTTATAAAAAAAATATTAAATGAACAAAAGAAATATAGCCAAAACTGGTCAACATAAAGCGTTTCTATTATTGCCACCAGCGTAAATTACAAATCCCAGGCAAATAATCCCGGGATTCTCGGGACTTAAAAAAGACCGGGAACCCGGGATCCCGCGGTCTATATTTTTCCCATGTTTTCGCGAATATAAGATCTGCTTCATTTGAAATTAGACAGCACTATACATAGCATAACTTTGTTATCGACTACTCGATCAGCCGTTTGTTTAGTGTGCTGATTTTGCTATCGTTGTTTTTTATTACAGTTAATTTTCATATGCGTAACTTTAAAAATAAGTGATGTGGAGAGCAGGGCTGCCACTTTGGTAAACTATTACCAAATTTGGTAGAAAAAATGTGGGTTGGTAAAAAGGTAAATTTGTTCTCATTTTGGTAGATTTTTGTTAAAGTAATTTTTGTGCACTTTAAAACTGTTCGTTTTGGCTTATTTTTAACCGACTTCCAAAAAAGGAGGAGGATATCAGTTGATCGGAATATTTTTTTTTTTTTGTTTTTTTATGTATGTTACCGCATAACTTTGGACCACGTCAACCGATTTCGATAAATGTTTTTGCATCGGAAAGGTAGTATCTCAGAGGTGGCCCCTGGTTTAGATCCGATCATTGGATCATGAAATATATATATATTTTTTTTAAGTCGGTTTTTTTTTGCTAAAAATTACTTGTTCGTAGTTATCTTTAAATTCCGCATTATCCCGAGCTTCGCTCGGAAAACAATCCACCCGAAAATTTTGCATCCGCCCATAGCAAATACAGGGAAACCAAAAAGTCTGATTAGAAATTTCTTTCTATAAGTATAGTCTATTTAATTTAATTAATTTTCAAACGCTTTATATTGTGTCCTATTAAAAACTCATTTTACTGTAATACTGAGAAGCTTTTGATTGCCTAAATATTTTAAATGAGTCTTTAAATAAAACTAAAAAAGAAAAAACTCAAAAGTCCGGTGGCAAAAAAAAATTTAAATAACGGGAATTTTTCAATGGTAATAAAACTGTTTACCCAAAAACTTTCTAAAAATTTTCAGGGAAAAGCTCGAAATTTTTGACGCAAATTTGTTGAATTCTTCTAAATTATAGCTTTGATCCTTGATTTTTATGATTTTGGTTAAAGCGCAAACAATATTCTTTTACAAAAAAAGTAAAAGAAAATACTTGAAAAACATTGTGAATATTAAGAAAATAAAAAGCGGTTTTTTGATACAATGCATTTGTCTATAAAACTCCAGTTGTAGTTTTTTGTAGCGGCTACACCAACCCCGCCCAGATGGGCTAGTTTCGTTGGTGCCTTTAGTTTCATCATTTCTGTTTTTGGTTGAAGGAAACCGAGAAGAAGCCATTACTATGATCTCAAATATCATATCATTGGTTACATAAAAAGTTCCTTAATAAAAAAATGCATTTTTATTGATTTAACTCAAAAAAGAACAAATCTATAGTTTTTATTAAAATAACTAAAAAAAAGTTATTGGTAGATATTTTCCAGATTTGGTAGATTTTTTCAAAGTAAATGGTAAATATTTTTGTTCGACAGTGGCAGCCCTGGTGGGGAGCAAAGAACTTCAGCAAAGAAAATTGATTTTGGACTAATTCATGCGAAATCCACACCTCTCCCAATACCGGTTAGTAAAATTGCTGAAAATTGGAAGGTCGACGGTACAAAATGTGTTGTCAAATATCAAGAAAAATTGCAGCATTTAGAGAAAGGCGGAACCGGGCGGAAAATCAGGCACTCTAACTTAAATAGTGGAGAAGGATGTTCCAAGGATTTTGAAACGGAATCCGAATCTCTCTGAACGTGTTGTTGCACCTGGAGTGTTGTTCTGAGAGCCTGTATTGTTTTGGCCTGATTTGGCAACAAGCCATTGTGCAAAAAAGCGCAAGAGTTTTATACACAAAATGGAATCAACATTGTACTAAAAGAGGCCAATCCTCCGAACGCTATTGGGCCTCTATGAAATCGAAATTAAAAACAAAATGCACACCTTCAAGAATAACGCAGTTCCGCAGAATGTGGCGAAAATAGGCTCAATCGATCAACGAAAGCGATGTCCAAGTATTAATGGCGGGTGTCATCTCTAAAGTACGGGTATTTTGGCGTGGAAATTAATTCTAATAATATTTGTAAATCTTTCATCTAAATAGAAATAAAAGAAGGTTCTAAAAAAGTTTCGACTGAATTATTCATATTTAAATTAGTTTTTTTGTTACTTAATACCTGCCAGATTTCAACTGAAGCAGATCTTATTAATTTGTGTGTGTGTACTTGGAATGTTAATCCCGGGATCCTAGTACACGCACAAATTAATATATTCGCGAAAACATGGGAAAAATATAGTAAACCTGCGGTTTTAGTTTGTACTCTCACTTTGAAATTTCAAAATATGATTGATTCAAAAAATGATTAAAAAATGTCAGTGCAGTGTAGAATAACAGTGTGGGTATGAAATAAAAGAGGAAATCCTGTAGAATTAAAAATATATTAAATTTTTTGGTGCATAAGGACGAATGGGTATGGAAAATTTCCTTTTGAACTTTTATCCTTGAATTTCCTTGAATTTAGTCCTTCCATTTTCAATAATTAATCGTCCGTGCAAACCAAAAAAATTTTTACTGTTTTTCAATTCTACAGAATTTTCTCTTTCATTTGGTACTCATATTATTATCGTACATTCCACTAATTTTTTTTTATAACTTTTTGAATTAATCATATTTTTTAAATTCCAATGTCCGTTAAAAAAATCCATTGTTTCGTGAGTACATATATTGATTGCTTCGTGTGTTTGGAATTTTTTTTTGTTTTTATCGCACGGTCTTATTTGTTACGATATTATATATATCGTTGGCTTAGTTCGCAAACGTGCTAAGTCCACTTTTTATGTAAATTGAGATTTTGATGCAGTAAGATAGCATAACTGAAAATACATCATTTCCAAAAAAGAAAATTACCGTAATGTCGTTTTTACTTGTTGTTATGCATTGGTACGCAAATGTGCTAAGTCCAAAAAAATCAAAAAAATATATATACACGTCTGTCTGTGTACACGATAACTCGAGATATCTCAACGAAATTTGGTATGTATGTTGCCCTTTATCCAAGGTAAGTTGGTATTAAAAATGGGCGAATCTGAATGTAACCACGCCCATTTCCGATATAAAGGTATTTTCTAAAGATGCAAAAACTACGATATTTCAGTAAATATTGGATGCAAATTGTTCAAAATTAGTATGTGAAGTAGAATTTTTGTAAAAAATATTATTGTGGAATTTTTGGAAAATGGGCGTGAACCCGCCCACCTATTATGAAAAGCTGCATCTCATTAGCCCATTCACCAAACTCGGTACGAGCCTTATTTAGGGTCTAGCTAAGAAATCTGTAGAAAATCTAATTCACTTAAAATCGATGATCGCGATAACCACTCAGCAGAAAATTAGATTATGATACATTTTTGGATAATGGGCATGGCGCCGCCCACTTATGACCACAAATTTGTAACTCGGTAACCGATTTATCAATTTCTACCCAACTCTGTCCACTTAATAAACCTGGTACGGAAAAGCAATTCGTTTATAATTATTCAAATCGGACCAAAATTACATTCGCTTCCCGTATATCTAACGGTAAATATCAGATCTCTTAATCTCTTAACAATAAATAAGACTGCGTGACACCGCCCAGTTTATGACTACAAGGCGTATTTCGGTAGCCACTTTAGCGATTTCTAATAAACGTGGTTCAATTATTTCATTGAGTTTAACTCAGGATATTATCGAAAACGTTTGAAATCGGGAAAAAGCCCCTGCTTACGACAGTATGTAATACCTGCGTCGGGTAGATAAAGTTCGGTTTCGCCCACACTTTACCTCTTTACTTGCTTTTAATTATTTCCTTTTATAAATGGTACATAAATTTACGACTTAAAATAGTTATTTTTGTTAATAGCAATGAAATAAAACTGTATTAGGTTATAATTCATTTTAAAACAATAAAATATATTTAAGGTAAACAATTAAATCTTTTAACAATAAAAAATAATGGAAAAAAGGTTGATAGAATAAAATCTTAAAGAGAAAATGTGGTAAGTCCTAAAAGAGCCTATAAGTCTGCAACAGCTTTATTTTGAAATTGGCCGATTATTGGTACTAAAACAAGACGAACTAAGGAATAAAACTGCATTTACAGATTAGAAAAATATTGAAAACAAAAAAAGTTAGACGGTTTTTTGTCCCTCCTGAAAAATAAAAAAAAGGACCTAGCACGTTTGCGAACTAAGCCAACGATATGTATATTATATATAAGTACTAGCGTACCCGGCGAACTTCGTCTTGCTCAACATATATTTTTTGTTGGACCATTGTGGTACAATGCTTTAATCAACTTCAGAAGGCATATCTTCCATTGCCATTTTCCATATACTCAACAGTGCGGCATGTCGAAGTAATTGGGCATTAACGGATGCAGATCGGGATTCGGCTTTTATGAATTCGCGACGCAAGCATTCAAAGCTCTTGATTAACTTGGGCGCGTTGCTTAGGATTTTGATGTGCACTGCTAATCGCCAGTCTTTGTAAATTGCGGTTGCGTGAGCCTTATCACGAGTTTAATTTTTCCCCAACCGGTTCACTTTTCACTTTTGGTTTCCATGTATTTATTATGGGCGGATGAAAAATTTTCGGGCGAATTTTTTTTCGGGCGAAACTCAGGATAAGGCTGAATTCTGATTGGCGAATGCTTTACGGACACTGAAAGTACAACGCCGATAAATTCTAACTATCTTCGAAGCAATCGAAACATATTCGCAAAAGAAATGTGCGCGCCAAATATTCTCACTCAGCCTTATCGTGGGTTTCGCACAAAACAAATTCGTCCGAATTTTTTTCATCCGGCCGTAGTGAATACACAGAAACGAAAAGTGAAAAATGAACCAGTTCGAGGAAAACGAAACTCATGATAAACGGATTTTATGTTATTAATCCGAATTCCATCATACAGTTACTCTCATCTAACCTAACCTAGCCTACATAATTGTTTAGCTTTGATACAATAAAAAAATGTTTTCAGTTTTCCTTGGACATACGAAAATCTCAACTATAGAGGTAGATGTCGCCCTACGCATTATGCTTTTTTATAGGAACTTTGCAAAGCAAAGGTTTTATGGTGTCTGGACACACAACATTGAAAGTTTGTCAATTAAATCTAATGCTTTGCATTGCATGCGCCCCACGCTTTTCCTTTTCAATCTCATGAATTGTCTATAATGACTTTTGCTAAAATTTCAAAATTAAAAGTTATCAAAACAAGTTCTATGAGACTGAGAATTATTATTTTCTACTTTTTAGTCCATTTATGAAAGCGTTGTATATTAGAAAGTTTTTTTAATATTTTTTTTTTTTAATAAATAACTAAATTTGCGTTCAAAATGAGATATCATTCGTTGAATTTTATAAAATATTAAAGGAGATATCGTTGGGTAACAAAAAAATACGTTTTAAAAATAAGTATATAGATACCTACATGTGTATGGGTCATTCCATACAATATTTACACCTCAATATATTTTTGGGGTCAAATATATTTTTTTATTTTCTTTATCGAAAAAAATACACAAATTTTTTTATTTCGTAATGATATTCGAAAATACCGAAAGAAAATCACGATATTTTGAACTCACTGAGAAGTATCTTTTTTTTAATTGTTTGTAGTTAATAAACTAGTAGCCGGAGAAAATCAGTTAAGGTATCAGCATGTGCGTAATTACCTCGGCTTTCCATATGAGATAGATTAAAATAAAAAATTTTTGCATTAAACAATTGCATTTTTTATTTTTTTATTAACTATTCCACGATCGACTTTTATTTTTTCCCCCCTGAATAGTTTTCAAACTTTACATAAAGTGCGTACATAAATTTTCATAAAGTGTATGTACGCAGGTATGAAAAAACTCGTAACTTCTACGGTTTTGGTGTTTCCATTCTAAATTTTTTACAGCGTACTCTTAAAGTATGTGTCAATGTTATTGTGGCTTATTAACATTTAATTTTTTTAATATTTTTATTGAGCTTTGTACCACGAATATATTTATTAGGAAAAATTTAAAAAGCAACAAAGTCTAAACGGTAGAAGCTACTTCGGAGATCACCACATCTCCTCATCAGACTTCTTTTTCTAGACTTCAGCAGGGATCGAACCCGCGTCATCGATGTGCAAAGTTAGAAGCATTAACGACTGAGCTATGCACACCCCGTAAATTCGTATTGCTAATTCATTTCCTTATTAATCCTACTGATATCAAGTGCAGCTGATTTGCCGCTATTTAAACTTGACAGCGTGGTTGTTGTTGTCAATTCTATACATGCATTTGCTTTATTAGTTTCTCTAAATTACCTTTATATGGGATGGCGTGGTTATTGTCCGATTTTAAAAATTTGCAGCCATTTGGTATGTTGTACCAAAGCCAATAACCGTACAAAGCTTGGTGGAAATTAGTGAAGCGGTTACCGAGATATACACATGTAATCATAAGTGGGCGTGGCTACGCCCATTTCTAAAAATGTATAATATTCTTATTTTTCGTCTAAAATTCATTGCA